GGAAAGTTGGTAGACGAAATAGCAAGAATTCGAGACAAAAGGAAAAACGTTTCATTTGATAAAGGGATCATATATGCTGATGGTCACTTGATGTTATCATTAAGCAAATTTGGCAAGTAACTTTGGACACATAACTAGAAACATTATCACCATCATATTCAATTTTATATAGTCTAACGTATCAAATCATGGCTTAGCTATATATTGTTGGGAAAAAAAATTAAATGAAATTGTAACAACAAATCATAGGTTTCAATTCTCTTCAGTTTCATAGTTAATTTGTATTTGAATTGATGGTTACAAAGCATTATAGCTATTGTAACATTATTAGTGTTAAATAAAAAAATTGAAACCCCCAATCCAACTGTTATATAAGGAGGCATTATCGTCCTTACTCTACAAACCAAACTTTGAGAGTTCTCTAAGTTCTATCTAAATTTTTATATTCTCTCTTTGTTTTCAAGAGTCTTGTTTTTAATAGTTTAGATAATTATTTTATACTTCGATGATAAAATTGTGAGTATTCTTAATCCACCTAAAGTAGTGGGGAGGAGTTAGTCAGCTACTTTTAACAATTGAATTCTCTGAGACAAACGCCATCAGTCATCTTGCACCATAGTTGGGGGACGGATATGTTTGAAGAAAAATGTGTGCAACACATGCCTCTATTTTTTTTAATACCGCTACTATATCAACAACTTTTTCATCTATTTTTATTATCATTCTATTTATTATAGTATTTCTTTCCATTACTTTTTATTTATTTATAATTTTAGCTATATTTCCAATGTCCTTTTCGTATTTTCCGAACATCTTAAAACAGTTCATATTGTCAAAATAATATTCTCACACAAATTTATAAAATCTTCGAAATTAAAAATTACGATACAAAGAAGTTCTATCTAGGAGGTTGAATTTTAGGTTAGACCATTTGTGACACATCCAGCCAACCTAGGAATTGAATATTTTCAAAGGAGGCTAGTTTTGTTCACACTATGATTAGACCCCTCTAGGCTTCTTTGAAAATTACTTTTAGAGTGATATTCGGTCATTGGAGAAAATAGCTTCATTTTCATTGGTTTTGGAAAATATTTATTTCATTTGAAAAATCAGCATATATTTTTGTGATTGAGAAAATAATATAATGTTCAAATGGTGTTGTTAAGCGGAAGAAACATACCTTAAAAGAAATGATAAATGTAACATTTTGAGTTAACTTAAGAGCCTGTTTGGGCCCGATTTTTTCACAAAAAAAATTGATTTTTTGACTGTTATTTCACTATTCCAGTCGTCATATTTGACTTCTTCTCTCACAGGTGGACCTCACTTTTCTCCTAACAGTCAAAAAATCAATTCTAAAAAATCACTCCCAAACAGGCTCTAAAACACGTGAAGCTTGTTAACTTAAAACACGTGAAGCTTAGCTATTTTATCAATAAATTATCTTTTAAATAAGGTACTCCAAAAAAGAAAAGACAAGACTCCATATGAAATATGGAAAGAAAGGAAGCATTCCTGTAAATTTTTATGAATGTAGGGATGTCTTACTAAAATGTTTGTGCCTACACCAATGAATGTGAAAATTGTTCTAAAAATAATTGATTGCATTTTTATCGGCTGTGTACATAATAGTAGTATATATTAGTTCCTTGTGCATGAGTCTAAACTTCCATAGATACACAAGAACACGACAATATAATCAAGAAATACATCTTTCTTTGAACATATATTTTCTTGAAAGTTCAAAGAAGTACCAAGTTCGTCCAAACGAATATTTGGGATTGTTTATAAAAATAGTTAGGACCAAGAACAAGAAAAAAAATGAAGATGTTTAATATGAACCAAGAAGTAGTAAAGGAATAGGACAGAAAAATCTTGTGGTCCAATTTTTTAACCTATTTGCTAAAGAGTGAACCTTGAACTTCTAAAGAGACGATAAACTCTACTAGAGGACCTTTGTGGAAAGAGGCCATTAAGAGAGAAATTAATTTCATACCACAAAATCACACTTGGAAGTTAGTGGATCTTCCCCTTGGGTTAAAACTACTAGGATCTAAGTAGTTTTCAAAAGGAAAATGAAAGCAGATGAATTAGTTGATAAATACAAGGTGAGGTTTGTAATTAGCAATAGACAACTAATCTCTACTAGAATTATCTTCATTGACTATGCAAGGTCAAATGATAATATTATGGATCCACTACTAACCAAAAAGGTTAAATAGAGAATTATTTGAGAAATCATCGAGGGAAAATGAGATTAAAGCCCATAAAAGAATGGATCGATATGATGGAAACCCAACATTGTTGACTGAAAGATCCCAAGATCTAGATTCAGATGGACAATCGAATTGTAAAGATCATGCTAGATTACTGTGGGAACTCATCCTAGTCGATTCCTATGATGAAAATAGTGTTACCCGTAAAGAATAAAGAATAAACTAAGCTTTTAATGATCCTTATGTCTCGAAATATCCGAGCAGAATAAGGTGGGTTAATCTTAATTAAGAGATCACGTATGTGATAAAGAAGTGGGGTCGCTTCAAAAGGGAATTACAAGGGCTTAATTTCTTAGAAACTCTTATAGAACGAGGGAAATGTTCATGGCAAAAATGAACATAATTATGAGAAAATGAGTTGTGTTTGGAAGACACTTGTGTGAAGTATGTGCTAATCAATTATTTTTAACTACTGTATCCTAAAAAAGAGACTCTATCAATCCTCTTGCACCACTTAAGGAAATTGCGTGCAACATAGGCCTTGGTTCCTTTCAATACCGTTACTATATCATCAACCTTCTCTCTCTATTTTTGTTATTACTCTGTTTATTATTATATTTCTTTTCATTGTTTTATTTATATAATTCCAACAGTATTTCTAATCTCCTTTTTGCATTTTTCCTAAATATATTATGTCTTTGGACTTTTTACGCATCTTTCAAACAAATGTGAGAATATTGTTTGAGAGTTCAGAAAGTACTTTTTGAGTTTCCTGTATAAAAACAACCACCTGGACGTGTTCTTTAGTTAAGTTTTGCTGCAACAATGTGGTCTCCCTTGAGTTTATGTTGCCCTCTATCTCTATCTATAATTCTTCATGCACTACTATTTTCAATAATATTCATTAATGCAGAAGCTGGAAGAAGAAGAAATGAAAGTTGTTCCATGTTTCCAAAAAATGGAAAATGTGTGTATTTAAATGATTTCAAAAAGTTGGCATATTAAGTAAGGAAAATTGAATAAGGATATATTGGTAAAAGAACAAAAAAAAAATTCTAAATTAGAAAATAGGCCTATATATTTGAGACGAGAAAAATGAAACGCACCCTATATAATTGGAACGGAGGGAGAACAATCATGCTCTATGTACGTCATAGTGTACAGCTTTGTGTACACTCCGTCACGTGTGAAGTTTTGATTTGACAGTTAAAAAAAAAAAAGATTAATCACACGTTGTCAACTTGGATGATGTGCATGATGATGTATAAAAAGAGAGTACAAGTGGCTTCATTCAACTTATTATGGCACGCCATTTCGACGCAAAACCTTCACTATCTTAAGTTACCAAGAATACTTGTTGCTGCACGTCCAAGAGTTCATGCAGATTTGCGTGCCTAAGGATATTAATTATATCCCGTTTCACTAAAAGTTGGCTATTGAGAGCCATTTCTGTGCAAATAAAACGCGGACCTTCCCATAATATTTTGTGCAAAGTCCCACTAATATTACTCAAAAAATAATAAATGAAGGAAAACTCGATAATTTTGTCATGGTGACCCCAAACTTCGGATCATATCGAAGGGTAATTGTTAGGCCCTGTTTGGTACCCATTTTTTTCAAAATGCATTTTTCTCTATCTTCTTTTCAACCACATATTCTTTATTAAAATAATATTACACGTAAATCAAAAACTTTTACTTATTTTTTAACCACACATTTTCTATCAATTTACTATTTAAAAATGCATTTTTATATAAAAATGTCTCCCAAACACATATTTATACTTGTGATGCATCCAATCGTCGCGTAGATAATTGAGTGGGACTTTTAATATTACTATCAGTGGCGGATCCAAGAAAAAATTCAACATAGGCTAATACGTATAAAAAAAAATTATTTTACTTATTTTTTTTAATGGACATTTGGGCCGAAGGAACGTGCTGTAGCACAGCCCATCAGCCTGTCCCTGGATCCGCCTATGATTACTACACGATATTTGTGAGGGGAAACTTCCATTTTCCAGCCCGTCCCTGGGCCGAAGGTTTTTCTATGAATAATTTTCTCAAAATTCACAATGCACATAAAATAACTTCATCGTATAATCAAAAGTTAAGCTATGCCCCCATTAAATTATATTTTATTTTTCTCTCTTATATTTTCAACTACATAATCTTTCATAAAATAAATATTACACGTAAATCGAAAACTTTTTTTTTTTTTTTTCAATCACTCATATTAAAAAAAAAAAAAAAAAATTTTTTACCCATTTTCATTTCAAAAAAAAAGTAATATTCTACCCATTTTCATTTCCAAAAAATGAGGGTCAAACAGAGGCTATAAAATCAATCCGAAACAGCTATAGAGTTGTCAATCTTTTGAGAATTTGTCATTTGACTTCTGCTTAAATATGAACCAACTTAATTTTCTTGAACTTTCCATTTGAACTGGAGTTGGTCAAGATCTTGCCTGTGGATATTGAATCTTTACATTATCAAATCATGTTAAGTTATTGAACAAAAATGATATATAATTGAAATTATACAATTTTAGTTTTTGGTGAAAGTTATTTTTTGAGCTCAACCTTGATGGACGTAATTAATTCAATCAACTATAATAATAATAATGACGCAGAGAAATATGAAATTAAGTAGAATTATAAGTGCACAATGCTTTAAGCATATAGAAGAATGATTTGCATATTCATATTATAAACATTAATGCGAACGTAGCTCGACAAATCCGTTGTAGTCTAGTTGGTTAGGATACTCGGCTCTCACCCGAGAGACCCGGGTTCGAGTCCCGGCAATGGAACCATCTCTTTGGCCAAATTACTGTCTGAACGGTTAATTCGTCAAGTTGTACTTCAGTTGGTTCGCAAACGACGCAGGTTCGAATCCGCAACGGTATTTTTTCAAATTTCTTTTGCCACTCCTGAGGACGACCGGCCGGCCCAACGAAATAAAAACCTTTGGCGGGAATAATTAAATCATCGCCTCTTGCTTCTTCAGTCCTCCTGTCTAGGGTTTTCAAATTCGGGGTAAAACAGAAGAATTTCACGGGAAAGAATATAATTCGCACAGAGAATATGGAGAATCGGAAGGGACTAGCAGGCGGAGCAGCCAACAGAGGATTGGAAGAGAACACCATGGCCATCCTTGATACTTCCGGCTTCAACAGTTCCAAAATCTCTCACCATCTCAATGACGACAGTCTGTACAAATATCTCTTTCCCCTTTTTGTGCAATCGTTTTATTTGTCCATGTAGTTTTAATTCTAGGCGTGTTTTTAAACTCTTCGTATTAGGGCTTGCTTTTCTGGAAGCTGTTCGTTGTGCTTCTCTTCTTTCTATTAATGGAACTGCACCTACAAGGTATTCATTCCTCTGCCACATGTTATCATTTTTCAATGCATGTACCACAGGAGTTTCCTTTTCTATGTGTGTTTACGGGTATAATCGGCCTAAAAATGTTGCTTGTGAGTAGTAGAATATCTTACATTGAAAAATTGGTTGAACAGCATAATGTTTGAAGCAGTATTCCAAATTCTTAAGGATGAAGATTCACTGGATTTAATAATGGAAAGCTATCAACTTCTTGTGGATTTGAATAAGGTACTTGATCCTTCGGCTTTGTAATTATCTTATTTCATATGGAGGGCAAAATATAATTAATATATGCTTTTGATTCTGAGAAAATGTATTATGTGTAGCGCTTTCCTCGAGTGTACTTATCCAAAACAGAAAAATCGGAATCTTCATCTTCAAATGTTATGTCTGAATTAGTTGTGGTTCAAGAGGTAACTCGTTTCTTTCCTATTTGAGGACTCCATGATTTTTGGTATACCTTGCGACTTCAGTGCTGCTATATAAGAATAATAGTTGATTTCAACTGGCAAATGCAGGCTTGGTCTCCGTTTTCTTTTGGGTTGGACAGTTACAATGAGAAGGTAGTGGCCAATAAACAGTTGGGAGGATCAATTGATTCCTTGGTGTGTAAATTAAGTCTCCTTTCTCTTACCCTTTCTTTTGTGCAACATATTGCTAGAGGAGAATGTAATCTGCTGGTTTTTAATGTTTCATATGATTATGTTCTACTGATAATGACTGATGAAGTTCATATTAATGGCAATATTCTTTCATTTTGTGCATTCACTAATATTTGATGTCAATTTCAGAGTTTCGATGCTCTTATACAAGAAGTTGTTAAGGTGTCAAAGGAGAGGAAATCTGAAGCTGTAGAAATAAAGGTTATTTACCGTCAATGTTTTTTCTTTAATTAATGGAACGTAAGTACCCATTGTTACCATTACTTTCATATTGAAGCCAATATGTAAGGACTTGCCCTCTTTTTGTTTTTTTCCTTTTCCTTGTTCAGCAAATTATCATATAATTCTACTAATCCCCTCTCTTGCCCAGCCAAACAGCTATTTCTTTTCAGATATTTGATTCTAAATGCTAATAATATGGAAGAGAAATGTGCTGGTCTTGCATCTCATTATTATCCCGCAATCACTTTTTCAGACCACGTTTTATGATCTCTGAGATGCTTTCTTTGCAGTTTCTGAGGAACATGTTGCTGTTACAATATTTGATTATTATTCTTGAGGACGATTTTTTACCTCGTAATTCAGCGTATCAAGGTAAAGTGTTTCTGTTTCTGTGTGTTTGATGATGCTTTCTTGAGATGGGCCTTTAGAATCCGTGGTTGAGTTGTTCATATCATGCATTGCAGAAAATATGAACTGGACTCTTTTGAGGGAATCACTGCTTAATATGCTTTTGGTATGCCTTTCCTGTGTTCTACAGTTTAGTTTCATCATTTAATTCCATCCTTGTTATAATTAGGATAATTGCTCTCCTGATTCATTGTGCCTTTGACTTTTTTCTGCTGTTCGTTTGCAGGGTTCGAGAAAAATAATCTACAAAAGCTTCATACAGGACTGCTTGTGTATAATGTGTGACCTCACTTTTGATCAGACTGAATTGTCTTCTGAAATGAGCCACAACAGTAGACAGTCGGGGGATCTATCAGAAGGAATTGATACTGCTTTGGTATTAGCATTACCTGAAGTTGAAAAATCTACATGCAGTGTTCTGAAAAAACTTGTGTTAATGGTGAGTCCTTGAGCCATCTCTTTCTGAGGATATCTGCAATCGGATTTTTATTGACCACGCCTTGTTGTATCCGTTAGATCATGGAGTTAGATTTATCACGGAGCATGGCAGACCTGCAGGGTTCTACCACCAGGGCTGATGGTGTAAGGTACTTTTTAATTTCTCTCTCTTTAACTTAATTTTCTGCTTAAGATCTATAGTTAACGAACATATATTTAACTGGATGCGGTGCAGGACCCCTGCGGTGGACATTATGTTAGAGGAACTCATTTACAATAGCGATATCCTTTCGTCCTTTTTACAGGTGCTTTCTATGTCTCTCTCCCTCTTTATACATATATGTAAGTATCATGCTCATGAATATGGTTTTCACCTTTAAGTGCAGTGAAATTGAAATAAAAAACTAGTTCACATTAGATAGTTTGGCTTGTGTACCATATATATTTGAGAGGAAAATACTGCAGTTGGTGTACACTGGTGTTTTGCTTGTACTCGAATCAACACGTAGAATTGACAATTGGATAATAACTGTATGATATTATTGATGCTATTTGTTACTTTTCAATTCCTAATCAGAAGTCCTATTTCTTGGAAACAAACACATGATAAGAGCTGTTCTTACATCTTGATCCTCTTGGAATCCTTCATATCTGGTCTTTCTTAAGCTCACTCTTCTTCAAGTATCTTGTGCGGTGCTAGTTGCTTTCTTTGTATTAATAACCTTATATGTCAACTCGGCACATGAATCTAATTGGGATTTCGTTTTGAAATTTTTTACAGGTATTTGATGAACCAAAATGGAAGCTAAAAGTTATTGTAGAATATTTCCAAAAGTACATTCCTAAGGTATGTTGCCTCATTAGCTTTGCAATTTAATTCTTTTCAAAGCAGTCTATCATCGTGTTTTGACCAATTTTCCCTCAGGCATCTTATAAACTTTATGCTTCCTAAATCGTATTTTTAATTATTTGATTATTCATCTCTTAACAGCTATCCATGTTTGTTGAATATCTTTTCATAGGCCTTATTGAAAGTTTTACATTTAAACTCTTGTACGCAAGAATGTAGGTTGTTCCCTTTCTTGAAAAGGTTGCCAAACTTTACCGATGGTATGGACGAATTCCTCGCTTCATCCAAATGTGTAAAAGATTCTAGCTGCACCCCAAACCAAAAAAAATGTGCTAGGCCCGACCCCATTTTCAGTAGATGGGATTAGGATGTATTACTACAATGCTATAAGTAGCATTCCTAATCTTTTGAGATCGAATATCTGGTTTGCCATTGTATTATCAGTATATGCAGCTAAACTTTGATCAAGCAATGACGCCAACAATTACACTAGAAAGTCTCTATAAACATGGGCTTAGCAGCATGAAACTTTTTTTCACTTCTTTTCATGAACCCTATATTTCTTAAAGGTCCAAAGAGAGAACTACAAAATAAACGTCGGAACTTGTCCTGTAATTTTATATGCTATACATGCAGTCAATATGCGATTAAACGGTCAGGTTGATTTTGTTCATGCCCTACTTTTATTCAAATGTTCATCATTTTCAATCAGTAAAATTTTAAGTACAGACTAGAGCAATTATCATGCTCATTAATGCTGGTAGTCTAAGTTGCCACTTTGATCGGATTTTGTAACTCCATTACCTCAGAAAAATGAATGCAAATAATCTTGAAGATAGGTTTCCTCCATGATGTTATATCATGTTAAAGGACGTTTACAATGAATTTCATACAGTGATTCTTTATTTAACAAAGGGGGAATTGAAATAATCTGAAAATTTGTCTTCAAGTTTACTAGAGCATGTTTGGCAAAGTTTGAACTGGTTTTTTTAAGCTGGTCAAACATAAAATTATGCACACATTGTGTAGAACCAACAAATTATTACCTATTTATTATCCACACATTCCATAGAACCACAACTTAACGAACTTAAAAGCTTTGCCAAATTCTACCTTGGTAGGAGCGATAGACATGATAAGAAAACCAATTTCACGTCCTGGAATCAAGTAGGGCTGCGTTATTCTTCCCGAGTAAGCGCACGCAAAATGGACGTAATTGCTGGCCTTAAATATGGAAGTGAGTAGTCTATTTGAATGAAAGGCTCTACCCCAACCTTTTCTTTAAAGAAAGAACCATTTTTGAGTTGCAGCTTTTCCCTAGTAATCTGCGTTGGTTTCTGGCTATATGGACATTGGGAGTTTACTTTGTAGGGCTGATAAAGGAGATAGAATAACCTTGCTAATTAAATCATCACAATTGTAGCTTTTTTTTAGTCTAATAATATTCTATGTTTGGTAAAGCTTTTGTAGATTAAGTTGTGGATCCTAAGAAATATACGGATAAAAAGTTGATCAAAGTTGTGGATCCTACAAAATGTGGGGATAAAATAACGTTTAACCAGTTTATAATCTTAAAAAAGCTTTGCCAAACCTACTCATAGTCCATGCCACCATATAATATTGTTCTCTTTCATGGTTGGACAGGAAATGAAAATCTTTGATATCAACTTTTGAGTAGGAAGCCTGTTTGTGCCTGAATATTTGAGTTTTTATTTCTGCGAAAATTCAGAGAAAGAGTTAGGTTTTTTATACCAAAGTTTGAAAGTGAAGTTTACATTTTTTCTTTCTTTCTTTCTTTTATTATGAGGGATATGCATTATAAGAAATTTCCTTTAGGGAAGTGGTCATCACTATGCATGTTCCTTATATGAGCAATTTTATGAAAATGTAGTTCTCTGTTTTCCTTTTGAAGTTTTTGGGGCCAAAAAATGAATATTAACTACCTGTTGGTATCCTGAAATTAATATCAGTTACTCTTTCATGATGTATTGCAGTCGTCCGTTCGAACTAGGAGATCAAACGGTCAAGTCAAGGATCAAACTTTTGATGAAGTTTTGAAGTGTTTCTCAAACAGCAACAGCACCAAAAGTATCGTTAAAAAACTAAGCATAGAGGTTGCTCAATTGCTTTTGGCCCATGCCTTCCAGGTGACTACTCCTGTCTAGTTCATAGTTCTTTGTTCTCGTCAACTAATTTTATATTCTACAATGAAGGTCTTACTTATATCAGTTTTTGCAAGAATTAATAAGTTGCAAATGGCATGAGAGTTCTGGTCATAATCGTACTCTTGGCCTCCTCAAGAAAGATTGTTAAGGTTTTATGAAATGAAATTGTAAATATTTTTCGAAGTGATTTACTTATGAAGTTCTATTACACTGAACTCTGAAGTTTGTTTTCTGCAAACCCCACTCCTTCTAGAAAAAGGATATAGAAGGAGGGAGAAATAAATCATAAACTATAGAAAAAAACAGTCTTTTAGGTTTATTGTACACATAAATGTTCACAGATAATATGATAGGGGATTGCATATCTCTTCCAGGCATATTTGTCACTATCATTACAGCATCTGCCTGAAGGCGGCTCTGAGTTGAAGGAAGATGTCAAAGGCAGCTCACTTGCAGAAGTGTGCAATAATTTAATATCGGCTTTTACTAGTCTAAGAAGAGAAGATAAGTAAGATTTACTTGATTGCATACTCTGTTCCTGTTTATGTTTCAGTTTTTGAGAATGTCTTCTTGGTTCATAAAGATGAATTTCAGAGGAAGATTATATCCTTCATATTCTATATCTCATGGCGACCAGTGGTAGCTTGAAACTTACATGTTTGAGCCCCTTTTTTTTTGTTGAAAATGTGTTTTGTAATAGTGAATTTTTGGAGATTGTGAGTTAAAAATTAGGAAAAAGTTTTGGGTTTACGCACAAAATATTTTATTGTGAGAATGTGTGGTTAAAAATGAGTTTGGGAAAAATGAGGATCAAACAGGGGCTTAAATTGGAAAACTACGCTCTTTAAACCAAAAGTTTTATTCAATTACTTTGCACCTGATTCCCAATAGAAGAACAAGAAATTGACACTAAAAGTATCTGCCCAAGTAAAAAAAAAAAAAAGAAATAAAAAAAACTTTTTTTAAAAGGTTCCGAGGAAGCATAGAAGATCCCAAAAGATGGAATATGTAATATTTGATTTGGTAGGCAAGAGTATAATATGGTTATGTTGCATTTTTTGAAGCGTGTAGTATATGAGGATTGGTTTATCCTGATGCTAGGGTGTTCCCCATTTTCTTTAGCTAACTGTAAATGGACAAATGGTGGTGCAGGGAAACTGAGATTTTGCCCTTTGGCAAAGAAGCACTGTTTACAGCTGCAACCATCCTTTCAACAAAGTCATAGGAGTTATGAAAACTGTGATATTGTGATTCGAAGAACGTGCTTGAACGAGAACGAGCCCATGTACAGAAGATTACATCCGCCGAACCTGGAGGGGATGATATTCCTTTTTGTTAAGCTATAGAGGTGTTGTGTAAGTAGTAGTGTGTATTATGTGTAAACTGAAGACTAAAAATGATAAATCTTGTAAGTTATTTCGATGATTAACTTTTGCAACTGCTCTTTGTATTTTTTTTTTTCCCTCTAAATTTTCATGTGGATATTTTATTTCTTGGAGGGTTGACAAATGATCGTAAGGATTTTTACAATGTCGAAGCGAGTTGGGCATTTTACTGCAGTAGTGGGTGTCACTTTCTTCCTTGAACCTGGTCCATAACTCCCTAACATCCTTTCCCTTGCCTTCACGTACCACCCCTTCCCACTCCTAGCAGTCTCTGCTTACCTTCACTATAAACCAGTAGCAGCCTCACACCTACCAATTCCAGAGAGATTTGTGGGCGATATATGGATTTTATCTTGTGAAATTTAGGATGTTTAGTGTAGCAAAATCATTTCCATCCATTTGTTAGGTTTATTTCATTGCAATGCTGTAATAATTCCCACAAATAAAAATGGAATTAAATATTGGAATTGGATCCCATTTGTATCTTCTTCACCATGTTTTCCAAGTTGACTTCTTTCCTGCTCAAGTATCCAGTATTTTTCTGATCTGTCAAAACTGCAACTGAGATAAAATTAACTGAAGAAGTTTTTGTATTTGGCTAACTACGTCCTTGGAAACTATAAAGGCATGTTTGAATATCATGTACAGGATATTGAACAAAATTTAAATAATACTACAAAACATTGGGTCTGTTTGAGTCACATTATTCCAAAAAAATGCATTCTTAAACAGTGATTTGACATCATTTCAACCACACATTCTTCAATAAAATAATATTACACGCAAATAAAAAACTTTTCCTTATTTTTTAACCACACATGTTCCATCAATACACTATTCAAGAATGCATTATTACCAAAATAATGTGGTTCAAACACCCCCATAATTCCTATGAAACAAATACAGGCTTTGGTGATTCAAAGTGATAATTCCCAGTTATAATATAGTGTGACTAATGATTGCACTTCACTACACAACTCTGAGCCGGTAGGGTATATGGTTTCTTTAACAATTTACGTTCACATTAGAATAATGTGTCATTCGACTTGTGGCAGCAAAGTTTTACTTTGTCATCAATTTCAATTTTTATTTCACTTTGATCATTATTTAAATTTCATTAGTTTATAAACGATGTGGGATGTGACAATCTAACTTGGCATATACTCGATGGTCTCTCACACTAGACAATTTGTTAGTTTTATATACTCGATGGTCTTTCATATTAGACAATTTGTTAGAAAACTAACATTTCGTGATTGAGTAACAGCATTGAAACAAAATACAAAACTATGATGAAAAATGTGTTACTAAAGACTTGTTTTCAAGATGTTTTAACAGAATGCGTGGAGAAGCATATTTGAAAAGAGAACGGACCTTGTTGTAATTTAGTCAAATCCCATATGGCTGGATGATTTTGTATCACTATTCAGCCTTTAAAAATAATTCTTGCGTTCCTTCTTCTTGCACTATATCCTTGTTCGGGTTTTGTTTCGATTATTTTCAAACTATTTTCAATTTTGTTATGCATTGAAAACATGTTTGATTTGAAAATTTTAACTTTTTGAGTGTTTTGGATGAAAACATTAGAACACTTGAGATATATAGAGAAAAGTAATCAAATTTCTCATTTCTTAATTCATGAAAGACTTTAATGAGACTCTTATTAACTCTTCATATATATAATACAATGTGTTATACATCTCAATGACAGCTAACAGCCTAACATGAAAAACTTTACGCAGTTAGAATCAATCTCCTTCATCTTCAATCATTAATGATCAATCAAGTCATTTTTGTTAGAAATGTCGCACAACTTGGCAACAGAAATGATGAGGATTAAAGGAGTGATAAAGAGAGCCAGAAAATCTTGAAAGGATAAGATTATCAAATTCGAACCAAAAGATAAATGCAAAGTTGTTAATTTATTATTTGATAGTTGTTATGTATTTTTTTGAATAAACACTAGCTACAATAATAATGGAAAGTCATTGAACTTTTTTTATTATAAATATGAATAAATGTATGGTCACCGATCAATAATGTTATAATCAAGTCTTTTATTCATTTTAAAGTTCATTTCATATTTTCCTTTTTGGTATCAGAGCCATTTTGAGCACTCGTCATACCACAAGTCATCTCTTCCGCTATCACTTTATTATTCGTAAATGTTGACAATTTCTTTACACTCGTATCTCATTAATTCTTGTCCATCAAATATATCTTGCCAAATCCAAATAAAACAATAGAAATAGAAAATTTCATTCCAAAATTAACAAATGAGTTCAACAGGGTGATCATTTCACCAATGAAGACCTTGTCCCCACCAAATACATTAGATAAAATCCAAACAATACAAAAACAAAAAAATTCACACCAAAATTAACAAATGAATTCATTACCTAATGAAAGTCCAATACTTTCATTTATGGTTAGATCATCGCAATAGTTTGAAAAAATCCTTGGACTCGTTATAGGCTTAGTCGCTAGGGTTGGCAACGGGGAGGACTCCCCCTCCCCACCGTGCATTTTTTCGTCCCGTACTTGCCTCATTACTTGTTTAAGGTGGGGCGGGCGCTGTTGTCCCATTATATACCCGTTAAAATTTTTTTTTCATTTTTCTTATAATTTTTGATAATTCATTTTATTGTCCTCATTCATTCAAGTGAGACAAATAATATAGTTATTAATTTTATTTATTTATTTTTAAAAATTAAATTATTTAAATATATTTGGTAAACGAAGGTTTTTATTGTTTATTATATTCCTGAGATAGTACTGATTGCCATATTCTATTAGAATTAATGAAATTTCGGGATTTTTTTTTATTTAAAGTATTGAATTTTTTATATAAAAAATTAGTCCCATACCTGCCTCATTACTTGTTTAAGGTGGGGCGGGCGCTGTTGTCCCATTATATACCCGTTTAATATTTTTTTTTTCATTTTTCTTGTAGTTTTTGATAATTCATTTTATTTTCCCCATTCATTCAAGTGAGACAAATAATATAGTTATTAATTTTATTTATTTATTTTTAAAAATTAAATTATTTGAATATATTTGGTAAACTAAGGTTTTTATTGTTTATTATATTCCTGAGATAATCCTGATTGCCATCTTCTATAAGAATTAATGAAATTTCGTGATTATTATTATTACTATTATTTTTATTTTGTATTTAAAGCATTGAATTCTTTATATAAAGAATTAAATGGGGAAGGGGAGGAGTGAGGCCCTTGTAACCCATATCGGGTACGTGGCGGAATTCCTATCCATACCTGACTCGATTACCTGTGGGTAATTTCTGTCCCGTTCAAGGCGGGGCCGCGATTATTGGATTTGACGGGTATTTTTGTCATTCCTATTAGACACAACTCATGCATTATGGGAAGAACTTGAAATGCTTATATACACAGGTGACATATTGTTGTCGATTTGATCCCGCAAGTGAACGGATCGTAACAAGTAGTAAAGTGGACCTTTTGAGTCCGGATTATCGTTCCCACGAAGACTGTACTTTTAATGCCCAATTTATTATTTCTAACTTCTATTTGACGAAAATAAACAAAAACAATGATTAAATGTGATTTTTATTCTAAATACTTAAAAATGCGATTGGATGCAACGAAAAGTGATTGAGAATTCAAACAATAAATGGACGTTAGGGCGGAACAATTTCACCTATTGGTCACCTTTACTTCATAAATCAAGATTCATAAAACCTAATGTAGTGTCCGGTCGAATTCTTCTATTGTATTCAACTTACCCCTCTCGAATTCTCATTGAGCCTATTTAATTAGTTTAATTCCATATCTTTATGCAAATTAAATTTAATTAAACGAAACATTGGTTCTAAGAATTCACACACGACTGTAGCAATCAATATAGGTATCTCTACACGTTATATCAATTTACCATATTTTAACATGTGGTCTAAACAAATAATCCGCATCTCTACGCAATCATTGTTCACAAATCATCTAATTAGTGATCAAATAATTAAATGTATTAAGAACAACATTAAAATCAACACATAAAATATAAAAGCACTAGAATCTCAATTGCATGAAATAAAGGATTCTAAAATATTACATTGTCCGCTCTAAAATCAAATTTAACTACACATAATAATGGAAGAAAAATAGGAATTTGTCTTAGAATACATCACCGAGTTTGAAATAAAGATGTAGAAGAAAAAGTGGAATTCTTGCACCAAGATCTCTTTCCTCTTCCAATGAATGCTTCCAATCTTCAATTCTTAGCGTTAATCTTCTTGAATTTCTCCTTTGAATCTCCCTTCTTGTTGTTCTCTCCAATATGTCAAGAACGCGTGGCTTGATTCCACCGATTTTTAGTGTACGGCTCTCCTCCCATTTAGGTCTTCAATTCTGTGTTTATAATGTCTTGGAGTTTAGGGAAAGATTTGGAGATGAGCTGGGCCGAAAAGAATGGTAAAAACCTAAAAAAATTACTCTCGCACGGCGGCGCCTGGGCGCTGAGGACTACTTCGGTTGCACTGGATAGCTTTCAATATTTTTGTCATAACTTTTTTGTTCGATATCCGATTGAAGTGATTCAAGATGCGTTGGAAAGATAATTCAAAGGAATACAATTTTTCTTCAAGAATCATTCTCCAATTCGATCGTTTTCTATGTCAAAATGAGTCTAAATGTGAGACCAAAACTCCGGCGCAAAACTTTTTGGTTGGAAAATGATTTATGATCATATCTTGACTAAATTTGATCACTTTGACACCTTCCTATATCCAATTGGCTTCTAGAACTCTTGGATCTTCATTTCAAGTTTTGACACGACTTTTGATTAATTGCATTTTAATCCTCGAACTTTGGATCTCTTACGTTTTGGTCATTTCATCCAATTTCGCTAGCTTTTGCCTATTTCCTTCCTTTGACCTTTTTTAGCTCTTGTTTTCTCCACTTCCATCAATCTACAAAACAACAACAAAATTACTTGTTAGCACATCTAAAATACTCTCCAAGATAGCAAAATCATGAAATTAATGGCATATATAATGAGTGTAAATCACTCATCACATATCTTCGCAAAA